AGCACCCAGATTCACAATAAATGCTCATTTATAGTATGAAGTCAGGGAAATGTTAGGATGCTCTATATCCGACAGGACTTTGAGAGCGTAAGAGATTTATGGAAACATTTTAAGATGAATAAAGTAAGAGCAAACAGACTTAAGCAAAATACTCGGGAGTTCCACATCCCAATGTATTGCCAACATTCTCCAACCCAAGTAGGGTTTTTGTTTCGTGTTATTTTGTTTGGCCACCCGAAACAAATTCAAAAGGAGAAATCAGCACTCCTGAAAAATATGAGGACACAATTATAAAAGGTCAGGCATAGCTAGTCAGTTTGCAAGCAATGGTAGTGGCTCATTAATAAGTAGCTTCCATTCTGTTAGGATAACTCCAGTGCGAAGTAGCATTCTAACCCCGGGGAGTCCTGCCGTGGGCATTAAGAAGAGGGAATGAAGATTTCTTTTCCAAATTAAGTTGTCAGGGAGCTCATTTACACTACACGGTGAGTGTATGTGGGCGAGCTGATGCAGATGATGATTTATGATGCTATAGACACTTAGGTGATTTTGGTGATAGAAATCCACAGCAAAATCCACTTAGGAAGATAAAACAGAGCTATCTATGGGAGGTAAAACCACACAGCTTTTGCCCTTACAAATTTCAAGTTACCCTACTGGGTTTAGGAATGGAAAGAAAGCTCATTTACTTAGAATTCAGATTTTGGTGGATTGTTATACAAACTCACACACGGAACATTTTTTTTTAAAGTTTATATTCATTGGATCTACTTTAAAGGAATTTTGAAAAGACTTTTCTTCTTTTTTTGAAGGGATGGTTGAGGACTGGATCTGACCAATGCCATCATTGATAGCTGTGTAAGGTATAGACATTTAAAATATCTAAATGTGAATGAATTGTAGCTCTCCATCTGCAAAGGCAGTAAATACACCTTTTGGTGAAATCTATCCATAAAAATTAGGTTTTAAAAGGCTAGGCAAACACATAAACATACTTGATTAATAATGTACATGGCCATCATCAGCTAACGTCTTCATAGTGTTTTCATAAAAAAAAAAAAAATCTGAACACAAAAATCCTAAAATGATAAAAACCAAAATGGAAATTGTATTTTGCCTTACTTCAGTATATTTGGTGTATATTTGCTCCTTAAATGCCAAGAAAATTAACTTTCAGAGTCTTATGAGAAATACATTCTCAGGCTTTGATCTTACATGTTAATTATGTTTGTAATCTCCCATTTTAGTAGCAAAGTGTCTGCTTTAGAAACAGAGTCCCACTGACAAGTAAATTCCTACATAAGCAATGTAAAAGGGCAAATCCTCATTGTAGTTCTATGGTTAATCTAGTTTTATATTTTTTACAAGTGTTTTTACAGAGTACACAGAGAAACCTTTAGAATGATTCAATGTAACCTGCTTCTATGAGTTCCATCATTTATTTACACCACCTTAAATATAATGTCACAGCCTTTCATTCATGTGCATTAGATTATTATATACTTCTTATGCTGTAGAAATATAAACATTAACTATTCACAGCAACATTTTCTTATTGCAATATTTATTTCCTTATAAAAGATTGCAAAACCATGGGGACATAAATTGACAGCACATTCTTTGCTCCTTTTGCTATATACGAGGCATGCTGGAGCAACCGATGCTTTTGTTTTGCTTGTATAAAATGATTCAACAAATTCTCCTCTCACCTATTTCCAGATTCCAGGAGAATGTGGTCAACCTATGTATTTTATTTTATTCACTGATAAAAATCAGGTGTATATGTTCATGTACCTATAGGCAAATGATCTATATGTAACAGTTACTATGTATGTGACTTGGTATCAATGTCCTTAAGATATCAAGGAAATATTACAACTAAAATTAAGGATTCAGCAAAGGTTTTGGTTTGCTTTTATGTCTTTCCTAACTCTTCTGATGCTTGATATCACAGGGTTTTGCTAAAAAACATTTTTTTCGAAACAAGTAAATATGTAATCTTTACAGGATTCCATGAGTGTTCACGCCAAAATCTGATAGACTTTGCCTTCCTCTAAGCAGTCATAGTAATCACAAACTTTAAAAATGTAAATAATTTCATTATACATGAGTTCATTGATCAAAATTATTAGACTGCAAAAAGGGCTCAGGAACAGATAGTAAACACAGTTTCTCAGGACCTAGAGTTGAAGCAGGGTTGTGTTTCAAATTAGAATATATTTTAAGTTAAAAAATAGTGTTGTTTTAAAAGCATTTACAGTTTAGTAGGATTAACATTTATTGACTAGACCAGCTCATTATTATAATGCCAAAATATTGATAACTCAGTTTTTCCTTGTGTTAAAAATATTACAGTGTATATTTTTATAAAATGTTGGTATCACATCCTGGAACGGAAAGGGAGGCGCACAGGAGTCAAAGAACATAATTAAGAATGGAGTTACTAGGAAAATGCAGGGATTTTAACATGTTCATATTACCATCATTCTGAAAAATCAAATTAAACTTCCAAAGTGCTAGTTTTAATAAGCTAATGGGGAATATGGAATTTTAGCATCACATAAAATATCCTCTTGTCAGATGTTCGTTTTAAATACTTTTAATGAACTGCATGTGGAAACATGCAGATTCTGGAAACATCCAGAAACACCCTTCCTGCCACATAATGCCTCTTGTAATCAACAGTGTCTTGCACATCTGTGTGACCTCACAATACCTGTAGCCTTGTGAGTTGGGCAGGACATGTGGGGGCTCCTGCCCTTGCTCCACAGATGGGAAAGCTGAAGCTCAGAGGTAGGGATGCTCAAATCAGACTGCGCATATTCCAGATGTCACTTTCGTTCCCCAGTTAAAGGAAAATATATTTCAAATTTTGATCTGACCTACATATTTTTGTAGACCACGCAGAGGAGCGTCATCTCCCTCCAAGATCCTTAGCCAGACAGAACTCGGGCGGCAAAACAACTTCAGAAAACCTAGTCATGGCTTCTCCCTAATGCAGTTTTTGGCATCCAGATCCAGACAGAAATAAGTAAATAAATAAATAAATAAATAAATAACTGGCAGGAGTGGGATAAACAAGATGAAGCTTTTTTCCTCATACAAAATGAACCCCTGAAATATGCTTATTTTGAGACTCATCAATTTAATAACTTATTTATTAGACAGCATAACCAAATAACCTGTATGGAGTAAAGCTGTAATACAAATATGTGCATTACATATTAGGAAGCAATAAAAATAACACGTACGCATGTATTTTTATCTCTGAAGGACGATATTGTCCCTTAATGAAGTTTGCTGCTTGTCTGGAATTGAACGGTAGGTTTAAAAAATTAGGGACAGAGGACGAATTCACTAAGGGCAGTAAAACACAGAAGAAAAACATCTGCTAGCATCCTACTGCTTGCATCAACAGCATTAATAAACAATGCTCATACGTAGAAGGTTGTCTCCTAATCACAAAGGCAAAATACCCAAGTGTTTTTTGGTTGATGTTTCTTGATTTTTCTTTTCCTAACAAAATAAAATAGCATTTTAATTCAAATTAAATTCTGTACCTTATCATGCTGTCCACCTAAGGCCAGTAAAACTTAGACTCTTCATCAAACTATATACCTTTTGCACTTCTATTATCCTCATGGAGTTTCTTATTTGAAAATGGAGCCCAATGCTTCCCCATGCTCACATGGATCTTAGAAAAAATTGATGCTATATTGAAATGTCAGCTTCTTTTATATCCATGTTCACTGATTTAAATACTGGATTGGGACTTGACCACATCAATGATTATATGCGATGAAAGCAGATTGCCTATCCACAAAGCCTTTTCAATGCTATCTTTTTCATATTATCTCCCCCCAAAATCTTCTCGTGTGAAAAATACATATATATAAACTGAAATGTACTTAAGTGTGCAATTTCCATCTAGACCCATAGCTAGATCTGCATACGAGAGTGTGCATTTGAGTGTGTGTTTTCAAGAGGCATGGTGTGGAACTCCTTTCCCCGAGTCCTTGGTCCTTGGTCTTTACTTCCACACCTTGTAGGAGTTGGGAAACGATGCGAAGGGAGAAGAACAAGCCAGACATCAAACCCATTTATTCTGAATCTTAAATTATGACTTTTTATCATCAATATTTTGGTTACATTGTGACACAAAGGACAAATTAACATCCGCTGTGAGGTCTCTTCTTCGATTGCTTTGGGATTTAGTAACATTTCCTTGGCATATGAATCCTGCACCCATCGACTCCCAGCTGTATTGTAATACTATTGTTGTACAAGGGGCCAAAGAAGAAGGATTTGCAAAACTGCTCCCAGGGTGCCTCTGCCAATACCTGTAACCGCTGTGACTTGCAGGTGGCTTCTCGCCAGGTGTCCGCAGGGAGTGTCAACACGCCTCTTCCCTTGGCAGATCAGAGGAGGATCCTGAGGGAGACTGGCTGGTCCTGTTGGCTTTGAAGCACCTAATCCTGGTGTGCTGGCGCAGAGGTGGGTGCAAATAGATGGAGACAGGCTGCTGGCAAGACCCAGGTACACTGGACCAAGAAAGCGTGTGTGTAGGAGACTTGGTCATTACAGCATCCATCGTCATCAGACGTGATTCAGGCCACCCAGGAACATCAAGTTCTTAAAAGTATTCCAGAGCGTTAAAAAAAAAAAAAAAAATTCCAGCTTGTTGGTTCTAAAGGTGCATCTGAGAGAATATCTTGGAAAGAAGAAGAAGAATTGTCCATCTGTTATTTGTACTTTGATATACAGGTACCTTCTGTTTGGTTTGGTCTCAACCAAAACAAAATACATAGGTATGTTTTGTGTTGTTTTGTTTGGTCTCATTCAAGAATTCAACATACGTTTGTCTCCCCATCCCAGCACAAAAAAAAAAAAAAAAGATAGAAGTAGGGGCAAGGAGGGAGAGCTGAATGTGGAAAGAAAAGTAAAGCTTTTCCAGGAAACAAAACAAACCAAAACAAAAAAACCACACACGCACACACACAATACAAAGCAAAAGTCGAGGTCCAATCGTGCAAAATTTGCTTCTCCGGATAAAGCACTTCTTGACAGATTCACAATGTCCCCTTCCCCCTCCCGAGGCCTCCCGTCCACCCTGGGGGAAAATACAGAATGAAAGTAAAGCCATTCTTTTTCTTAAGGCTGAACAGACACACAAAGAACACATTTCAAGGACTATCCGGCGGGTGGTGATTTGCAGGGCTCCTGCTCTGAGCCCTGCCTGTGACCTGCCATCCGTCCTGGGGTCAGCGGCACTCCTCGTGTGGGGGCAACAATACAACGGACAAACAAAAGATGAAAAGTCAATGGTCCCCACAATAAGATCCAATATTGACTTTACAATCACAGGTACAAATTGCTCAAATCGATAATTTCCTTTCTCCTTCAGACCTTGTCGTCTAAAACTAATTAGAAGCCAGGTTCCCGAGGAATGGTCAATATTCAAAGAAAATACTGGAGATTTAGAAGGAAATCATTCTTCTACCTCAACCATCTGACGGAGGTGGGGAATAAGTGGTCCTATTCTGGCAAGTTCAGGGAGTTGAGGAAGGGCAGATTCCTGGGTCCAGATCACAACTTGTCCCACCGTCTGGGGGCTCTGTGTTTATAGAGGAAAAACCAAAAAGCCCGAGAACGTGGAGTACTTCCAGCCTCCCATGAGGTTCCCCCTCTCCAGTTTGAGATGCACTTTATCTTCCCTTTCCATCAGCAGCAGGACCCCGTTGCTGGCAGCTTCTCTGGTAACGTCCTGGTCTCCTGCAAAGGCTGAGATCACCGGGTAGCCGTTCTGCATTAAACTGACCTGTGGTGCAGAGGGTAAAGCTCAGCAGACCATGCAGGACTCCACGGGCACACACTCGTTCTGTTCCCCCCCACACCCCTCTGCCCTTTCCACGGAGCCACCCCAAGGGCCTGGCCCAGAAGATGCGACAGCTTCTGTGCTGGGAGGCCCCATGGTCAGCCCGCTCCCTGGTCGGTCCAGATGCACAGAGGGTATGACAGGACCTGCAGCCATGGGGCGGCAGTAGTCCGAAGCTGAAAGGGTCCACGCAGGCTCAGAGCTACCCACCTGGATGGTTTGTCTGTTGTACACTTTGACCACGTGGAAGCTGAAGCTATAAATCCCTTTTCTCGGTGCTACAAATATACTGGAGGCAAGATCGAAATGGTTTCCAATATTTACTAATACCTGAAAAAGAAGAGGGAATACAGCACAAACATAGCAAGCCCCTCCTCAGCATCTGTTTTACTCAGACTGGCAAAATCACCAACACGGGTGCCTCCAAGGGGCCGCAGAGCAGCACCGGACACCCTAGGCAGTGGGCCAAACCTGCCCCCGCATGCAGGGGGTGGTGGGGGTGGCTGGTGGTAAAATACCCTACACCCAGAGGGATTTGAGAAGAATCCGAATGGATTGTAATTAATAAACGTGTTGAAAAGTGTATCTTATGTATGTATTGAAAAAGTGGGTGCAAATTTTCCACTTTGGGGCAAGGCAGAGAGAAAGGAATAGAAGACAATAAGGTGGTCGGTAAACAAATGGAATTGAGTCTGTTCAGAGGTTTGTGGGATTCCGGGGCTTTCCACGTGAAGTTTACTTTCACAAATAGAGTGCCACGCCAGGCTGAATGGAGAGAACTAGACCAGGGCTAAGAGGCCAATTCAGGGAAATAACTTATATCGGCTCAAGCTCGGCACTTGACTTCATGTGCTCCAGGAGAGAACGGACTTCGAGGGGTTCTTGTCACCCTGTGACCCCAGCCCCTGGGACCCTCCCTGGCAGCACACAGTAGGTGCTCAATTGCAGGTGCTGAGTGGAAGACCCGGGTAGATGAACACTCGCTGCACCTGTTTCCTTCACTTTCCTCTGAGTAATGTGTTTGTTCCCTTGGCTGAGCTCTGATGTCATGCAAATAAGCTTGAATAAATGAAGGGAGTGGAGACAGCAGTTGGATACCCTGAGCTCAAACTACAGGAGCGTGCAAAGACTAATGACAAAATTAGCCGGAGGATGTGAGGTCACATGACCCTGCAGATGCTTTTTCTCAAATGCGAGGGGGATGAGAGTGTTACAGTGTCACAAGCAGAATTTGCAGAGTGGAGGATCCCTCATGATGACCCAATTCCCTGTCAGGTGTTTAGGGCAGAATTTGGTCACCTGTCTGAATTCCGTCCCCACTTCTACTCACACACAAATGCACAACTCGATTACAATAATAAAATGGCCTGCTTGGTGTTCTGGGCCTTTAAAGCAAACAGCCAGCAACAACAGAACCCTAGGTTAAGAATCCTGTCGTCTGCTCAGAAAATGAATTTCAACCGAATACCTCTTGCTGTTACTCCTTACACACTCATTGTAGCCGAATGACACGCAATCCTCACAGCAATGTGCGATCTGCCCACGACAACCGCTGTCACCACTCGGGAAATAAGCCCGCACCAGCTTCTTCAAGGAGCTCAGGGCACCACTTCATTCCCTTCGCCTGCAGGGCTCACACAGACACTCGGGGCTCTATTGTTCAAGACCGTGATCTGCACAATGCCTGCTCGCCGTCTCTTCCAGCCTAGGCTCTCAGTCCGCCTTAGGAGGCTTTAAAAAAGAATAAAGCATTCTCCCTCCTAGCCCTCGGAGCTGTTTCTTCCAACTCAACTACCTCAACTCTTTCCCATCGGTTTTAAATTCAGGAAACTGGTAAATTTAGGGCCCTACTGTTGATGAAAGAACACCCAAGGAGCCCAGAAAAGCGGGTTTCACTTACTTCCTAAATGGGGAACCAGAAGAACAGCATTTTACCCGCCCTGCCATAGTTGGCTCATCTATAAAATTAGAATCTTACTACAACTTAGCTTGCCCTACATCACAGAGTTCTCTTGACACCCAAGTGAAATGATGGGAGGTAACTAATGATAACACGTGAAGAAGAACTTATTAATAGAGTAAATAGAGAGCAAATACCCATTTTATTGTTCTCTGCTTTATCTCGCCATAATTAAAATAGTTTTAGTTTTTAAAGAAAACTGTTTAAAAACAGATGAAAAAGAGATTCCCCCCAAAACCTCAAAATTTCAAGTAGATAATCCTTAGCAAGTATTAAAATAAATTAATCCTCTGGCCTAAAGAGAGACAATGGTGTGTGTAGGTTTACCATCACTGAGGTGTGAGAATTGGTTAACAGAAAGGAAGTCAATTAAGTGTGGCCAGAGAGCCCAGTACTCTGTTTTAGCGGGAAGCATGTTGGCAAAAGGAAGGGACTGAGCAGGTAAAGTTTGGGAACCACTATAATGTTTTCAACTTGTTCCTGAAAAACAACAGAAACCGAGATGGGAGGGCACAAGAGGAAGGTCACAACCTCCAATCCGGAGCCCAAAAACCCAGAGAAGGGATTGCCAAGGTCTGATCATTTACTGACCCTTCTGCTTTGAACCAAGTGAGAGAAGTTAGGTGGCCTAGGATAAGTCATTGATCCTTATTTTTTTAATCTATATAAGCACACTATATGTAATATTTGTGTGTTGCATATATTTGTACATTACAGCATATATGTTGTATTTACTATCTATTCAATCTATATAGTAGCACTCTATTTTGTTTTGAATTTATATAACCATCCCTGCTATTAACCCCCACACTCTTCCCGACGTTTTTCTTGAAGATAAGCATCCTCTCCCCAGTCCATTCCAAAATAAGCAGTAGGCACTGATTTTCTGATCGTTGGCTGAGACCTTTGGAGAACCCCCTTTTGGGGTGTGTTCTCAATGCACTCAGTCCCCAAGTTGGCCACCTGGATGACTGAAGCCCATTTACCACTAACGACAGCCCCCATCCCAGCGAAAAGTAAGATGTGCAGGTTCCTTTCGGGGAATGCGTTTCAGATTCCTTAGTTTTAAAGGACTGTCGGTCATCCGAGCTGCTAGTGATAAAAAGCTACAATGTGAAAAAAGGGAAATGGTAAGGAGAGCTTACTCGGAAAGGGAGAAAGGAGAAAGGCAGGGCAGATCAGAGAGGCGGGGAGAGCCTGGAGTCCCCAGCCCGCGCGCCCAGGCCCCCGCCCTCTCTACCCCGGGCGGGAGGCGAGGTGGCAGGCGGGCCGGCTGACCTGGTCGAAGTAGATGGTCATGGTGCGATTGCTCATCTCGGACGGCTCGTGGTTGGTGCTCCGCGTGGCGGAGAAGGCCACCTTGGCGCTGCCGGAGCGCACGGAGATGCCCAGGGAGGAGGTTACCGCGCCGTCCGCCGACGGGCTCGAGTCGCACACCACCAGGCACTTGCCCTCCAGCACAATGGGTTCCGTGTCGTTCTGCGCCCGCACCGGGCAGCCAGCCGGCAGCAGCACTAGCAGCAGGGCCAGCGCCGCCCCCAGACAGGAGCCGCAGCCAGCCGGCTCGCGCAGCGCCCCCCGGCGCCCGGGCATGGTCAGCGGCGGCCCGCGGGGGCCCCGGCCGGGCGCCGGCATCCGCGTTGGCTGGGGGGCGGGCGGCGCGCGGGGGCGACGGCGGACAGGGGCCGGAGCAGCGCCGGAGGGCGCGCAGGGCTGCGTGGGGCCTAGGGAAGCCTCCTTTGGCCTCGGTCCCCTGCTCTGATGGTCAAGGCCAGGGTCGTCCTCAGAAGAAAGGCGGCAGCGGACCTGTCAGGGCAAAGAAGCCGAACCCTTAGACTGGGAGGTGAAGCTGTAGGGGGAGGGGGGCACGGGGAGCAGATGCCTGCAGCGCAAGGGCCCCTCTCCCTGGAGTCCACCCTCCTAGTCCCGCACACAGCCACCCCTTCCCGGATTGGCACAACAGGTCCGAGGAACGCCCTGGCGCACTGGGCAGGGCATCCCTGAGGACTCCTAGGTGGCGCGCGCCAAGGGTGCGATCAGGTAAGGGGCCCGAGGCTCTGCAGGGCCTCGGCCCTAAGACACGGTCGGTGACCTCAGAGACGCCACCCCACCCCGGCCCATTCTGCAAAGGTGGAGAGGGGGCTAAGATGCAGGCAGAGAGAAACTACTTAAGGTTTATCGCCTTCATTTTAGCGGCATTTTCTTGAAAGCCACACCAAGAAACCTTTTTCGGTTCTCTGCTTTCCCTTTCATCCTCTATTTTTTCATCCTGGATATTAATTATTAATTATTATTATTATTAATTATTATTATTATTTTAAGCAGCCCACGTAGGTAAGATCGTGTCCATTTTCCGCCCAAAAACAAATCCCAAGGAAGCTCCTTAGGGTGAATAAGATTAAGAGAAAAAAATAAAAAGAGAAGAGAGACTCTAAAACCAAACACCCACTTCCAACGTCCCCGCAGCCCGCAGCGAGCTCTTCGGAGAAGCCCCTGCGATCGCTCTCTCTGGCGCAGGACCAGAGGATTGCACCGATGAGCGTCCCAAGCTTGGCTTATTGTGCAGCTTTTGTTCCTAGACTCCGGGCCCTTTCTCTCCGGCCTGGGAGGCAGCCCTGTAGCTTTTTCCTAACTTGAGCGCGCGTTCGCACTTTTCCCCGGCCCTCTCTTCTCCCACCAAACTATAGACAGGCCATTTCAATACCCAGTTGGAGAAACGAAAAGCAGAGAAGCCGCTCCCCTCACCGCCCACAGCCTCCGTACAACTCCTCCGACAGTCTACCTAACAAGAGAGAAGTTGTTTCTCCAGGAGTAGCCTCTCCGCAGCCCCAGTACAAAATGATTTCGATATTCTCTCTCTTTCGCCCTCTCCAGAACGCAGACTCTCGAAGTTCCTCATTAAAACGTATGCATGAATGCAATTAACGTGCGGATCGTGGAGGACAGGCTTGGGTTTTGGTTACCTGGAACATCCATGATGAGCGAGCAGCGCTGTCCGCGAAGTTGTTCTGCTTAAAGAAGATGAGGGGAGCTGGCGGGAGGAGACTCGGAGCGCAGCCCTTCTCCCAGCGCCTGGCCAATAAACCGCGCCGCCCCGCCCTGCCCCTTTCCCGCGACGGCCCGCGCCCGCTCCGGGTACGCCCCACGCCGCGCACCCTGGTGTCTCGCGCCGCGCCCAGAACCCGCACGCCGGGTACCCCTCACCGCGCCGCGCCTAGCCTCGGATCCGCATGCTCCGCGCCCAGCATCGCAGCGCGCGTGGCCCAGCGCCCGCACTCCCAGAGTCCCGCACCGCGCATCTCCTCCGACCCTCGCGCCCTGCACCGCGCAGCGCCCGGAACCCGCACACCCCGCGCCCTGCGCAGCGCCCCGAGCTTCGCACCGGTTATGTTCCAGGTACCGCACCGGTTCTGCACCTCACCCCGGCCCACAGTCTAGGAGGGCCTTCGCGCACAGCGCGCCCGCAGCGTGGCTGTCTCTGCCGGGCCCCTCAATCCCGGTCTCTTCTCTAGTCTCCAGACGGCACAGCCATCGCGATCGCCCGGAGGACTCCGCGCACTGCCCCCTCCCGGGCTCGGCACCCGCTCTCCGCACCCCCGCCGCACCCTGCACGGCCCAGGTCCGGCTCTCACCCAAACACCCAGAGCGGATTCCTCCCAGACGCCTCGCTTTTAATAATTAGGCACCCTCAAAGCACCGGTCGCGCCTCTTCTTTTCGATTCTTTCTTTTCTTTTCCAAATTCCCTCCAAGTCTTAATCCTTAATAGCGTGACTACTTTCATAATTAAGGGGTAAAGCAGTTTTCTTTAAAAATAAAAATAAAAGGAATGGACTGGAGAGAAAAAGCTTGGGATTTTAATGGCTTAAATGCTGTGGTTCCGGAATCTCCAGTTTGGGAAATGTCAGATTTTGGCAGGGATTAAAGAGGCGCCTCCGCCTGGGTTTATGTTTCTGCGCCTCTGAACCTCGGGGCTCCTGGAGAGCATTGGCACACACGCTTATTTATTAAAATGCCTACTCTGAGCTCTAACGACCTGGGGAGACGCGCCGGTTTCCCAGCTGCGCCCAGAGCGCGGGCGAGAAGCGCAAGCACGGATGTGGGGCGCCACCTACGGGCGCTGGGGCCTCCCTGCCGCAGGCTGCGGGCGAGCAAGCTCCGCGGGAGTGGCGGAGTCCAAGGGACAAGGATGAGGTTTGCTAATGGTCTTCTCTGACCCAAAAGAGCAGTCCTGTCCTCTGCAAAAATGTAACAACAATCAACGGTCTTGCCGGTATCCTTCAATACCCTCGCTCTGACAAAACGTAGCGGCGCTCTTGCTTTTACAGATCTTCGCTGCTCTAACAAGCGACTCTGCCAGGATGATGGATGCTGCAGTTTATCATTGGTTACGTCCGCAAAACGTTTGCACAGACCACTGAGCTGTATAGTCTGTACCTCCCTGAAACAATACTTAAATGTACACTCTTACGACCTGACTTTTAAAAGAAATTGTTTAAAAAAATACGTAGCCCTTTTGACTTGCATAAGGTGCCTTTGCCGACAGATTGATCAAAAATAAACTGTAAGTCGGCCAATGCTGTTCATAAGAACAGAGCAAAAGTATTTCTTATTCCTCCAAACTTCACACATGACCCTCTTTTGTTTGAAGGTTTCAGCCAGTGTTCTGGTTCCACTCTATAAACTGGGTCTTTTCGGGTAGGGGGTTTTCAAAGCTTTATTTCCCAGAGGCTCTCACGTGGCTTTTCTCCCTACTTAGAATTGACAAGGCCTCCTATCTGAGCAATGAGATTAAATTCATTTCCAATCAGTTTAAACGAAATGGATGTGTGGGAAGACGGGGCAAAGAAAAACAGAATTGCATATGATTACATGAGACAAAATATTTAGTATGGTTGTAAAAATGTGATGAAAAGAAATTCTGCGCCAAATGTTTTCTAACTTAACAGGCAAAATAGTAAAAATATAAAACATCCCCCAAGCCTATTATCCTCCTAAGGATATTAGATGAAAATTAAGTGCTTAATTTCAACATTTTTATAACTAGTGAGTCAAATGTACAGGACTTGCTAGGAAACTTTTTCAAAGCAATCATATTTTGCTGCCATTTTTTTTTTTTTTTAGTTTAGCAGTGGAAATTGTTAATTCTTACTTTCAGTTATTCATTTCAGTATTGCATTGATTTGACAATTTCTTATTGTCAAAATAAACACAACTCTGCCATCCCGTGTATAGAGAGGACTGATTTGTGCACAAGAATAAATAGCAAAGGACACTAAGTCTATGAAGAAATGTGAGACACAGACTGATAATTAGACCAATTTGGGGTTGCTAATTAAGTAGCAATACCTCTCACACATCTATAAATCTTTAAATAACAACTCTATTAAGCAACTGTCTTAAATGTTGTGCCATAAGCATTTCTTTTGACTAGTGCAAATGCAAACACGCATGGACCAAATTATTATCATCACCTTTGGGGGGAATAAAACCAAAGCTCTTTTCCATGTGGCAATAGAACTATTTAAATTCTATAAATCAAGAAACCTTTAATATGTAGTGAGCTAAATCATGGACATAGAACAGGAAGCATTCTTATATAATGGGGAAGAAAACAGGTTAGGCTTAAATTTAGGCTTGAGGCTCTTTTTTTAAGAGAAAGTCATTGTGAAAAGCACCAGATTGACAGAGAAATGGAACATTATTTATTCACTGATTGATTGTTCTATCTATAAGGAGACATTTAGGTTGTCTCCTTACAGGTTGTGATGGAATTGTAGCCCATAAACATGCTTAGAAAGATTTCAGAATATAACCTAGATGTAAAGTGAAAATGTCTTCTGATTATTGCAGGAATTGCTTCTGTTGCATTTCCATGTTCCTAGAATTTGCTGCCATTACTACTGGAATAGTGGTAGAGTCTTTTCTCTTTAAGTGTAGGGACATCCCCATCCACAATAACGATGCTGACAAGGTCATTTACTGAGCATCAGTTATGTCTCAAAAATTGCGCCTTGTCCTTTATCTATGATTTAGAATACAGTTTAACACCCAGATCACCCTGTGGTAGACAGATGGCCACATAGAGCTTAAGAGAAAAGTATTCGAATGTTTTTTTGTTTTTTGTTTTTAAAAAGAGTTGGGGGAGAGTGCTAGGACAATTCAAGTTCCCTTCCTTTCATTTGTCCTAAATATTTATCTCTAATAGAACTTAAAATTGATTTCTTTGGATAAAAACTCATCACTGAAATACATCTTTAGCATGCATTATAGTCTTTTCTTGCTTCTTTAAACTAATATCAATATTTATGATTGTATTCTAAGGATGTGAAAAATATGATCTGCTATGTATTTCATACTCTTGAATGTCAATCCTGTGTACATTCCTTTAAAAAATAAACATGTAAGCATTAATAAGCAAAAATTAATTTTCTTTTTATTTTAACTTTAAGAATAATTGGCAAATATAATTGTATATATTTAAAGTGTACTTGGTGCTGATTGGATATACATATACATTATAGAATGATTACCAAGAACAAGATAATTAACACATTCATCACCTCACATAGTTAAGAGAGTTCTTTCCTTTTTATTTATGTGATGACAATGCCTAGGATCTACTTGCAGCAACTTTCAAGTATACAAACCGTATCATTAACTAGTCATCATGCTGTACATTAGATCCTCAGAACTTATTCTTCTTACAGAAATTGGATACCCTTTGACCTACATCACTCCTTTTCCCCCTCCCCTCAGCCCCTGCCAGCAACCATCCTATTTTCTATTTCTAGATTCCACATATAAGTGATACCATGCACTGCTCTTTTTCTGTGTGACTTATGTCACTTAGCGTTAATGCCTTCTAGATTCATCCATTTTTGTCACAAATGGCAGGATTTCCTCCCTTTTTGGCTGGGTACTAGTCCATTATGTATATATACCACACTTTGTTTATCTATTTATCCATTGACAGACACATAGGTTGTTTCCATGTCTTGGCTATAGAGAATAACACTGCAATGAACATGAGAATGTATCTCTTGGAGATACTGATTTCATTTCCTTCAGATAGATTTATACCCAAGAATGGGTTTGCTGCATCATAGGTCATTCTATATCTACGTTACTGAAAATACAAATTTCTAAAAAGTTTCGTAAATATATTTCCAATGTGGTATAATGTTATTTTAGCCAGTTATTAAGATGTGGAAAATAAATAATAATTCTAAATATTGCATTCTTTTAAGTTATATGTGCTAAATTGTTTAAATATCCAAGTTTGTATTTACCAATGTAACTATAAACAGTATTGAAATATGTATTAACTCCAACATGTATAACAGCAATGAAAAAGTATAAATACTCCATGTTATGTGGGCACTTTGATAAATTAGAAACATAAAAAAAAAATCTTTAAAAATTGAAACCAGTTCTCATTCAGTTCAAGAATTGTCAAAGGAGCAACTGGTTTGTAATTGTTGACTGAAATTAGTAAGTAATTATAATAATCCAGTCAAATTAGCTAAGAATTCTTTGACAGTTAAAAATTCCAGATTAGCTGAATTCAAGTCAATTAAGACCGTGCATTATGCAGTCATAGTAAACTAAACCAATTACCTCTGCCATTCAAAGAACATGCTTAACTGTTTTCAAAAACCATATAGCAACTATTTTTTCTGATATACATTTCAACATTCAATAAATATTCTTTAAAAATATGATTTTTAATTTTGTTTTTATTAACAGACTGATAAAATATGGAGCAACCTCTGACCCCACATACTATTTCTACAACATTACAAAATGAACATATTACATTATAAGGTAATCCTTTTTTCACTTTACAATGCCTTTTAAACTTAAAAAATAAGTCTAGACATTCATTTGGGGGTAAATATTAGAGTGTATGAGACTTTATGAGGCAAAAGTATTGAAAACATACAAAGTGATCTAGTCTCTTGTCACTCCAATGTCACGTGCTACTTGATTCTTAATAAGGCATAGCTTAAAATCGGTATATAAGG